CACTACAGAAGTAATTATAATGTAGTGTCTACAAATCATTGTGACATTGTTCTAACACTGGTGGTGCCCCAAAAATGTTGACTTATGTAGAAAGTGTTGAATTAGTATCTAATCTGAAAAATTATAATAATATATCACTGCTGTCGGAAGAAAACCTCGTACCTCCATTTTTTTCATTTTTCAGTTTTTGACATAATTTGAAAATGCCTGTTGTTCTTTACATTGTCGGTAAATTTCATGATGAACGGGCTAAAAGAAACGGCCCAACATGACTTGGAAAAAAATCTGGTTCCATTGACTTCCATTAAAAGTAAACTAGGTTTTTTCCTCCTCCTGTAAAGTTACCATTTTGGAGATACAAGGTTTTCTTCCAACAACAGCGACATTATAAAATGTTAATCCTGATGCTTTGTTAAGGTTATTTTACCTCACTACACTCTGAGCACCTCTACTGTAGAGATGAGATAAACAAACAACATCCACTTTATGGCAGTGAGGTAGAATTTCAGCTTAAATGACTGATGAAACTTTTTTAAAGTGGGTAATGAAAACAGCCAAACAGCCAGCTGTAATATTTGCAATGCCAGTGTTTTGACTGTGGACAGTGTGCGAAATACCTCCCAGTATTCGGGGAGTCCCATGTTGGCTGGCTACTCCAGCGTTGGCTGGCTGCTAACTGACTCGCCATAGTGGCGCTGAAGAGTTTCAGTGCCAGCAAAACGTTTGGTTTAACAATTCATCCTTTTCTAGTTTGGTAATGCCTCTTTCCACACATTAACTGAGATCTCACACGTCTCCTCTTTTGTCTTCAGTTCGACAAATGAGGAACAATTCACTCTTTCTGCCAATAATTACAGTTCCTAGGCTACCAACAGGGTGAGCCAGTTTGCTACAGCGCCACCCTGAGGCAGACCAGTGCTGCATGTCTAGTTAGTTAAGAATATCAAAGACAGAAGCTCACCGTTTGTGGGTGTAGCAGCTAAACAAGGACCTTTCCCTGAGTTTGCATCTGTTTTTCACAAACAGACAGCATAATGTCAAAATGGGTTTATTTTCAGCCCCCCCACCCATTTTGATTTAAAGGGGCCCAATCAGTGTTAATCAGTGTATTTTGCACCTTGACTGTGGATAAACTAGTCTCCTCTAATCAAGAAACAGTACAATTAGGTTACTACACACTTAGTGCTAAGAGTAACGGGAACTTCCAAGCTCACATCAGGCAAACTTTAAAGAAGTTACTCTGATACTCCACATCTGTATTGGGCTTCAGAGGGGAAAAAAAGAATTAATCTGATTCAATTCTGCAACAAATCTAGCCTGAAACATCACACACTCACATTGTGTGATGTGTTGTTAGCTTTCTATCTCTTCCTGTGGGATAGTAGAGGGTTTGAGTAGTTTGTTCATGATATCCTACTTTTAGATGTTCATCTTGGGTATTAAAAATAGTTTACTCTAAAGCTTCATTGTTACTAAAAATGAAATTTGTACTTGGCAGCGAAGCGCAGTGGCATATTTTTGAATTTGAAGCTACACATATTCCAACGATGTGCCTGGGTACAACAACAACATTTATTTGTATAGCACTTTCTACAACTAGTGTTGTCTCAAAGCAGCTTAACAGAAAAGCAGTTTAGGAAGGATCAAAAGAATAAAAAAGAAAATAAAAGAAAAATAAAAAGGAGTCCATGTATCGACGTAAGGAACTGAATCCGGGTCCAGGCCCCCTATGAGAAAGCCAGAGGTGACAGTGGTGAAGAAAAACTCCCCAGTAAGAGGAAGAAACCTCGCGAGGAACCCAAGCTCAAGGGAGGAACCCAGGCTCAAGGGAGGAACCCATCCTCCTCTGGTCGACCCCGGATGAAGAGAGAATGACAGAGCTAACGAGATTTTATGACAAGATACAAAGAAGCTTAGAGCTTGAACATCTTTCAGAAATATTCTGAATAATCCAGGACAATGTTAGAACGTTCTCATAGGTTCTCTGTCAGTCATGATCGGTGCCAGATGCTGGTGGCTCCACTGTGGTGATTCTAGTCATGCATGCTGACAAGCAGGAGAGCATCATCACGTCTGGCAGGAAGGACAGGAGGAACGGGTGATCAGCCAACGGAGATGGAGCTCTGCTGACTCTAGCAGCTCTGGTGGCTCCCATGTGGGTAGACTTATAAAAGATGCCAGATACCCTGACAGAGCAAAGGACGTTTTTTGTTGTTTTTTTTTCATTTCCCAATCCAAAAACAAAAATGAATGTAAGATGTGGATTCGTCTGGAGGAAACCTCTCCATCAGCTGAACACAGATTTTGTCGAAATGAAGTACTGTGACATTTTGATATGTATTCTCTGTAGTTTCTGAAACATGATTGATTATTCTTGAAAACTTCATTTTAATATGTATAATTTGAGCTTTTTTTGAAGACATAGACCAGGTGAATCACCAGTTATCAGGCTAGCCTTTTAGCATTTGTGTTGCTTTTGCTTGTCTTACACTTCCATGGCAGAAGTAAGAGAAAACAACTTCAGGAAAAAGTCAGGTTATTTTTAAAATGAACCTGTGCATGATCGTGACTACCTAAGCACATACTGCCAGATACTTAACCTCACTAAATCTCACTCACGTTAACATGAACACGGGTTACCAGCATAAACAAGCTGAAATAAGTGATTATTTTAATAACCAATTAAAATGAGAGAATGTAAAAATGAGATATTAAATCAAGTAACGAGAGAAAGAGGTCGTCCAGGGCAGGCTAACCTACTGGAGTTGGAACAGGGGTGATGACCAGTGTATTCGCTCATTGATAGGTCGGGGTGGTGAGAGGGAGGGAAAAACATGCTAAGATATTATTGGTTAGTATCATTTTTTTCCCTGCCACTGGAACGTGATGATGCAACTAAACATCAGATTTATTTATAGGTGCGCAAAAACCAATACACTACACATTTGGGGGAGTCATGGGCTTAAGGTTAGGGAACCGGCCTTGTGACCGGAAGGTTTGATCCCCTGAGCCGACTGTACGTTACTGAAATGCCCTTGAGCAAGACACCTAACCCCTAACTACTCCCTGGACACCGTGGATAGGGCTGTCCACTGCTCCGGGCAAGTGTGCTCACTGCCCCCTAGTGTGTGTGTGTGAGCATTCACTAGTGTGTATGTGGTGTTTCACTGCACAGATGAGTTAAAATGCGGAGGTGAAATTTCCCCGTTGTGGGACCAATAAGGGTCATTTAACTTATTTTGTCTTTTGAATGATATGTCAGAATGGGTTGTGCTTAAAATGACCTATCAAGGTTAAAAAAATGTAAATTTTGTTTTCAGGTTGACTTTAAACAACTCAAATTTGGGGTTAAGAAAAAACTAGACATATTTATGAACTACCATAAATTCTGCAACCTCCTCAATCTCTGTGTTTGTAGCTGGTGAATGCAGTGAACACGCTGGACCGGCACGTTCTCAACCAGCTACACGTTCAGCTCATGGAGCTGCGAGGCTGCAAGGGTCATAAACAGTGTAACCCACGCATTCGCAACTTGGACCTGGGTGAGTTGCACGTGCACACGACACGCAAACACACATCTGCAGAATTATGAACACACACACACTCATACACATACACACTCGTAGCTATCAGCACTCACTAACTGAACATCAACTACACATGCAGAAGGTTTGCTCTCAGACTACACCAAGCACTCTTCAGACTAAAGATGGACCTGAGAGTAGCCACAGTTCCACATCATCATCCTCATCCTCACCCGACCCTGGCCCTGCCTTGCTTTCTGTCCTCCTTGTTTTCATGCAAACAGACTCTTTCATCTTAACTAGCTAAGCTGCTCTGCTACTGAAATAAGGTCTTAAACTTATGCCACATATTGGGTCTTGTGTGACTCAATGAGGTTTGATACCATCATAATGTGTTAAAGTATTAAGTAAATTTTAATTGCCGTCTGCTTAAAAACATAGATTACTATGTCCTTTTCTGTTGTCTCTTTGCTCACTGACCACAACAAAAACAGGTTTTGGATGTGCTGACATTGTTTTGTTGTTGTATAAGGAACTTAATATCACACAAACACAAGCAGTATCCAGTATCCAGTGACCAGGGATCACCGGTCATCTCCACAAAGGGTGTGGCTGCAGGTTTTCCTTCCAATCAAGCCAAAGCACACTTGAATCTACTTGTTTAATCAGTTGGTCTCAGTGTATAAAGGGCCTACGTTTACATTTGGCTTGTATTCATTAGGGAGTTTTTCCCGTGTTGTCCACTTATAACATCTGTGTGGGTTTATGTACCAAAAATGGTTATGTTTGTTTTTTTTACATGACCATTTTCCAACCTTTGGCTCCTACAATCAAACTGTTGTTGTTTATGATAAATAAGCTGTACTGATTGGCTGCCCTGCATTGTGCCTCATTCAGAAAGCACTGAAATACTCTCTAGAACTTCAATGTGAAAGGGCGGGGCTAAACTGCTGTAGGCTGAATAGGTGGATATACGGGGTGATTCAGAAAGATTCATCTGATTTCAAGATGATTTATTTCCCTTGTAAATCATTACAGATCAATGCAGTAAACTGTAAATGGTTTAAATGAGCATAAAGTTTATTATGTAATTGTACAAGGTCTCAGTATGAACCTCCTCCAGCTGTACAGACAACATCAACGCCATAGTCAAACTCATCCCATACTGGATTGAGCATGTCGGGTGTTGCTGCACTCACAGCTCTTTCAGTGCGATTTCGGAGATCATCCAGTGTTGTGGAACCAACGATGAACGCTCTGAGCTGTTGGAGCTTCACTGCCCACGAAAATCACACTGCACAGTTATGACGGATTCACTCTTATTGAAGTGGAGAACACAGAACGCTTTCTGCTCAGGGGTCTCATCTCCTCTCAGACTGAAGGGAGCCATCTTCCACTGACAGTCAGAAACTCTATGACCCCCTCTTTCAATTGGATTGTGATTGGTTCCTAGGAGCCTCATGATTGTAAAATATGGCGCTTTGAAAGGGATGAATCTTTTTGAATCACGCTGTATTTTTTATTAAGAGCTGGTTCTTGTGACATCACAGAAACAGTCATGCATTTTGCAGCATGGTTTCCATATATGGACTGTATGGACTGGGTAGTGAATGGCATGTTTTGAAACGTTGACAATGTTTACACATTACCTCAAACTCCTTTATTTAAAGAACATGAGGGAAATTTGATTTTCCAAGATATGAGCCCTTTAAACAATTAATGAAGTATATGAGTTGCTTTTGCCTGGATAGAATAAAAACCTGTAGCCACACTGGCCCTTTGTGGACAGGACTGATGACCCCTTTAATAGGTAGTCTACAGCAGTACCCACCAACCCCATGTAAAAGTCATGTAAACAGCCTAATTAGCTCAGCAGTTTGCTCTGTTGGTATATAGGAGTGTGTACGTGACTATAACTTGACCTGTCTTAACGCTCTCTAACTAACGATATTGTCTCTTCTTCAGGAGGTAAAGAGAGAAGCAGCTATGATGAATACAGGTATCTTTGCTAACTGAATTTGATACGACTTCAGTAGAGTAGTGTGGCAACTAATTTAGTTGAGTCTTCTATAGCCAGAAATGCACTAATCCATTCAATCAACAGTTTCCTTGCATATGGAAGAACACATGAATGCAAATGAATGTTTTGATTTGCAACACACCTAATAATCAGTCTACGGACTGTAGACGTCTGCTAACAATAAAATGAATGAGAAGACTTTAGAGTGATGAATGAAAAAGGGTTGAATTTTCTGTGCTGATCTGAGATCAGCTGGTTTTGGAAGATTATCAGCAATTTTTTAATGTTGACCACTATGGAGAGATTTTAATGGTAATGACAGCACAGTGAGAGGCCAGTTCAGTTATAAATAGACCACTGAAGTTGTGCCATCATCCTGTAGTCGAGTTCATGCCGATATTAAGAATATTGGATCTAAGCTGTTTTTCTCCATGGAAAAAAAATGAATAACATTTTCAAAAATTGCTGCTATTGAATGCTGTGGTAAACAAAAATAACACTTTTTGCTGTATGTACATTTTTCCCTGGAATGTCGCTAAAACAAAGGAGGCAACATAGGCGCATGAGTCATTCTAGGGAAACGTCCATTTTTGTGTCCCTAGCATTTACAGATACATCACGTTTGAAAAAACATGTTAGGGTTACAATGTATTTATATTTAAAATAAAACAATGTTATTTTAACAATTACACCTTCTTGAGCCGCCAATTTAGCAATATTGGTTTTTAAATCAGTCATATAGAATTCCAAGCACCACAGAAGAGCTCATCCTCACAGTCATGTGTAAAGGATGAGGCCATATTTTGAGGTAAAAAAATGTTTTTCTACAATTTTAACTGCAATAATCTATACATGACTGTGAAATATATTAATTAAATGACATAAAGAAAACAAATGGCAAATAAATATTATAAAATGTATAATGAAAGTTGTGGTCCCCAGGAGTCGTGTCACTGGTGTTACTGCGTAACAAAAAATCTTTTATTTTGAAATAAAAATCACACTAATGACATCACTCGACTTCCTTTTACCTGTTTTCTGAGGATCTATGAAGAAAAGCCCATGGTGAGTCCACTGTGTCTTTCAGTTATCAGAGATTTTCTCATTTAGCTCATGATTTCATATGAAGCTTTTAGCTGAAGTCACTGGTGTGACCGACTTTATTCTGAGGTCATTGTGAAAAAATAGAATACAAATGGATTAAATTCCATATTTTAGTGGATATTCCATGATTGACAACATGTGGTTTGATGCTCTGTAGCAGCCATTTAGTAAAATGCATTTTTCATTAAAAATGTCTCTGGTGTTCCCTTTCTTATGTGTAACACCAATGAGGATCAGTAACACCAGTGACTCCTATGGAGAGATAAAAAAGTGGACATTTCTATAGAATGACCCATATGGCTACATGCAAGTTAACACAGGATCCAGTCACACAAAGGAGGAAACATACACATTACAAAACATTCAGGTCGGGAGCATTTTTGTTTACCACATTTTTCAAAAACAGTGTCCAAGAGAAAACCTGTTTAGACATGCAAGTCCTAATATGGGCCGACTGCAGAATGACTATGACTCCAGAGGTCTTTAGTCTATCCATGCTCCACCCTCAAATGCATTTTTCATAGCAGCTTTGGAAGGCTAGATGAGCTTTACACAATGCTGGTAAACAAATTCCATTGAACCTGATGGGAAACTGTAGCACACAACTTTTTTGTCAAATGATGTACATTTAGAATGTACTAATTAAATTAAATGGTTTTGTATGTGTATGAAAGGTCACACTGCTAAGAGATTGGGAGTACTAACCATGAGCGTGTTGGAAAATCTGTTGTCGTTTCCAGTCTGTCCAGTTTTGATTAGTCACACTGCCATAGTCTCAGTACACTCTCACAAAGTACTGTACCTTTCAGGGTACAAACCCTAACACTAGTAGTAGCCTCAAGTGTATGTTTACAGTACCTTTAGTTTGGGATCATAACTGTATCATATTCTGCTGCGGTTATATTTTATTAAGTTGTTTATAATCTGTTTTGGCTCCAGGCTTTTTATTTTATTTTTCTACTTTAAAAACATGCTGTGAAAAGGTACAATTACGCTTTTTTACCAGGAAAAGTGAATGTGGTGTAAACTCTTTTAAGGGAGTATTTTAAGGGTACGTTAACATTTACACTTTTGAGGGGACATTTACATTGTTTGTACCTTGTGGGACTAAAATCTTACCTGGACAGTTCTTTTTTTTTCCTGACAATGTAGCCTACACTACAAAACATAGTATCTTGTCAGGTGAAATGATCTTAAATCTAGTTGATATATAATTTTGAGATGGTTGTGCACTGGTTATAAGATTATCTAGCTTCTTTGTAGACATTATTTACTTGTTGTAGGTAATTTCATCAAATAAAATGATCTCAATATAGTGGCAGATCATTTTGCTGGTTTAAGCACATTTCTTAAAAAAAGCAAATTTATCTGCCAATAGAATGAGAAAATAAAGTTAAAAATATCTAGAAATAGGTTAAATAGTCTTACATTAAGCTTACAACAATCTCAGCAGGTGAAATATTAGATTTATTGACTATATTTAAGATCATTTTACTTGGCAAAATACCATTTCTTTGTGTGACGTCTTCAACTAATCTTTATGTGGTAAATGTCAACAAAGTCTAGTGCAGTTTCTCATTAGTTTGAATGGGACTTTTCTCTATAAAGCTTGTCCAACACATTTGTGGGTGAAGCATGGATAGGTCAGTTCAGGTTTCAGCATAATTCATTTCTATAAATAATAAGTAAAAAGGAGTTCCTCCTCCTTACATATTGCTCTTAAAGGTACGTTGACAGCTTTTGCTTTACGTGCAGAGGCTACTTCTTAGCAGTCTTCTCCTTCATTTGGTTTAATTCCATAGAGGGCTTTGCACTGTGCACTCCCCCCCCCTCTCTCTCACAATCTCTCTTACTCCTCCTTTCCCTTGCCCTCTACTACCTCTTGCATGTGTCCTTTTCTGCCTGCTGATATGTACATGTTAAAGCTCATGAGCCTTCTGATTGGCTCTCTCTGATCACCTGCTTGAGTCTGGGAGGCGGGGTAACGGTCTGTCTTATCGTTGCTTGTGGCATTAGGCAGTTTCAGCGTCGCAAATGGCCCAAAATGAAGAAGCCTGCCTACAAATCGCTGTGAGTTTGGACAGTTCTGCTTCACGTTCCTTGGGATAGAGTACCACCAAGCCACCACCCGATCTAACCCATCTTTTTCTCTCTTTTTCTCTCTTTCTCTCCGTTTTGTTTCCTCCCTCTTTTCTGACTTAAGTTTTGTTTGGCCTGCATGACACTCTGCTCGTTTGAAAGAGCTTTTCTTTCGTTGTCTGTCTGCATGGAGCCACTCGCAACATGGCTGCTGCTCTCCTGTCATGCATTTCTATATTTGACCACTAGAGGACAGACACACCTCCTCCATCCCTCTGCTCCTCCATCAGCACATCACTTCTCTCAGCTCTCTGGTTCTGTAGGGCTCTGCCTGGAGCATGTATACAACTTCTTTCCACTCTCCAATCATGTGTTTCGTTTCATTTTTCTCATTACTATTTTTTGCTTACTTTTATTGTTCACTGAACTGCAAGCATCAATCCATTCCCATAGAATCCGTGGAATTAAAGTATGCATCGCCCTGTGGATTGAGAAGCTTTCTGTTTTCGGATATAAAACAGAAAATGTGAATGTGTATGTGTGCGTGTGTATGATTTGTACCCCTAGAGGGCAGATTTGGGAAGGATGGGAGGGATAAGAGCCTGGCGGAGGACGACCCGGAAAGCACCCGGCCGTTTCCGTGGGCGACGAACTGGTCCGAACTTGAACCCTTGTACAGACTTGACGAGCACGCCTACGATCTCAACCTCAACTTCACCCTAAGCCTGGAGGACTGGGACCACTTTCGCCACTCTGTGGACCGCATGTTTGCTCTCCTGGACAATGACAACCACCCACGGGACCTAGAGGGTGGGGCCAGAGGAGGAGGAGGAGGAGGAGGCCACGCCCTCGTGTCCTCCACCAGCCGTTCGGCTTCAGTTGCCTACCTGACCACTCTAGCAACACCTGCTTTTCTCCTGAGAAAGGCAGGAGCTGAGGTCCTGAGAGATGCTTTGGGACTGAACCGGGAGACACGCCCTTCTTCCTCAGCCCCGCCCACCTCCTCCTCTTCCCCTTCATTGCATCTCCCCTCCTCTGTCTTGCAACCGGACAGGGGTGCAGACTGGGACATCCCACCAGAGCTGCTGGGGGGTGGGTGGAGAGAGGGGGAGGAGAGAGATAGCGAGGAAGAGGAGGAGGAGGAAGAAGACGAGGAGGAGGAGTTAATTAGAAAACGGACAGGCCGAAGGAGACTTGGTTCCGCCCACTGTGACTGCAGCGACTTTTTACAGGACATTCCTGTGTGACTCTCCTTTCAGCTCTGCAATCGTTTTTCCTCATCGCTCTCTGAGCAAGACAGAGAGTTTGGAAAAGACTCCTGGCTTTCCCAGGAGGGATCATACAGGAAGTTTTACCTCCAGCTTACAAACCAGCCTCTCTCCTACCTCTCGTTCTCCCGCTCCGCCTCTTCTGCTGGCATCCGTCCTCAGAGCCGCAGCCTCCAGGCTACCTTTTTTTTTTTCTTTCTTCCAGTCACTCTATTCAATACTCCTCCTTTAAAACCCTCAATCTGGGAAAGTGTAACTAGTATCTCTGAGATCGGCAAGGCTTCGACAGAGCACATTTCATCATTTAACTTTTGGAAGAATCTTTTTTTTTTCTTGGGGGGATTGATGGAGGGATGATAATTACATAATTAAAAAACAGGAGTGAGAGAAATAAACTTGACGTATTTTAGTTCATGTCGAATGACATTGAGATTTGTATCGTGGCCATGTGTACTTGTTTTTATTTTGCAGTAATGGCTGCTTGTACGTTTCTCCTGCACAACTGCAGACTGTGTGGCCCTTATACAGCATGTTTTCTCTGTCAGAAATGCTGAACCCTAGGAATTCAGCTACACCCTGGCTGACCTCAAAGGGGAATTCCACCAGTTTGTTCTACATTTCTGCATTATTCAGTTTTTGAGATGTAAACAAAGTCATTCTGACTGGTTTGAAGTGGTTCATCATAGTAAAACTTACCTGTTTACTTTACAGTGGTGGTGATAGGAACTGGGGGACACAATGTCTACAGCCCTAATATAGCCTTTCATTTACTTTCCAAAACCACTGGTGAATTTTTTGTAGGTAACGCTGATAATGGTAAAATAGTGATAAATCTGAAAGGAACATATTTTCTTTGGATACTATGCATGTACCTCTCTGCCATCAGTGGTCAAAACCTTTTCTCAAAACTATCGTAAAACAAAATCCCAGGTATCAGGCAGCGCATCTATAAAGAACTTCTGTAATAAGTTCTGAAATACAGCTTTTAGAGCAGGGCTTTTTATTTTTACTTAACATTTTGTCATGACCCCAAAATATGCACTACAACGGCAAAAAACAGGCACTGAATACTTCAAAAATATTCACAAATAATTTGAAATAAAAAACTATTTCATACAAAACAATAGACTACATTAGCTGCAGATCACTGTTAAACCTCTTTAAATATTTTTGTTGTTGTTTTTGTGGTTCTGTCCCATAGATTGTTGTTGGGTAGGGGATGGGAGCACAAATTATGTTGCAGTGCATGCTGGGAACTGTAGTGCAGCTTGGTGAAATTGCCTAATAATAATAATTAAAATAATTTCGGGGGCCGAATAGGATTGTGCCACGCGCCTGATTTGGCCCACGGGCCTTGTGTTTGGCACATGGGTTTTAGAGGCATTAAACTCTTCAGACGTCTGGTTCCTATCACCACCACTGTGAACAATTCTCTCTAGAAACATCAAATCACTCTGAATAATGATGTTTACATTTTAAAGACTTAATTATGTAGAAATCTTGAGAAATTAGTGGAACTCCCAGTTAAGGCCACGCTGATAGGATTACTTGTTTAGCAGATTCACCCCTGTCCTAAGATTTGTGCAATGACCTAAGGATATCGGACAGGCTTCTTTATTTTACGAGGCCCAAACCACGTGTTTTTTTTTTTCTGTTCACTTCGTTGTTGTAAGAAAACATCTGTTGAACAAGTATCTAAACTGAATAATGTGTATGAAAGCGTGCCATATTTTCATTTCCGAGCACAAAGTTTTGTTTCACTTTACGTTCTTTCCAGTGCCATTTGTTTTCCAGTGTTGCTGCAGCGTTTGGCCTCCTCTACGAAAGAAGATATAAAAGCTGGATATAACCATCCGTGTATCTGTGTACATTCCTAAAAGCCCCACGCCTTGAGAAACGTCTTATTACAGAATTCTCAATGACGAGCATCTTAATTGACGAGCCACTTGAACATCAAACGTCCCACTCCATGAACACATTACAGCACCGTCAGCCGGTGTCCCATTTATAGAATCTAAGAAATTGAGATCATCGACTGACAAAACGTCAATGTGTTTTTTATAGCATAATGAAAAAGAGCTTGATGTGATTATCATGTGTCACATTGTTTTTAAATCTGAATTCTTAGGTATTTGTTTGTGCTATACATGGTGCTACTAAAGTCTGAGCAAATATAGAAAACAGCAGTATGTATTTGAATGTACGTTTGCGATTAATATGCTGTAAATGTTAAAGTATATTTTATATGACACACAACCGGTGAAGCTAAATTGACCTGCAGGCATACTTTGAGTCAAGTTTTGGGTTTAGATCATTATTTTTGTTTTTCCGCCCAGTATAAACACTTGTTTTAACTGTAGATTTGAGAGCAGCACATTTTAACCATACATGTTTTTCTTTGCAGTTCAGTGCATCTACATTTGTCAGATCCCTTTGGCCTTTTGGCAGATTGTAACTCAGCTGTGCCTCCATATTTGACAGTGCACTACACAGGGTGTATAATACTGTGCTCATACTGTATGTAGTGCACTTAATGTGTGCTCTCCCCTGTGTAGTGCACTTGAGGGGGTGTATGGGGTCATTTTAAATACACCAAAAGACCTTTTACTCTGGATTCATACATATTTGACAGAAGGATCCTGTCATGTCCTGAACATCCTCTAAGACCACCTATTTGTATTTTGTCTGAGCAGAAAGCATTTTTTTTGCCCCCGATTGTGCATTGTTACTTTGTGAAATAGCCCCTTGTTGTGTTACAGAAGTCCAACATACAGGAGAGTTTTCCCTCAGCACTTTGGACGGGACTCCTTTAGTGGGAAGATGATTTTAAATGACAACAGACAGGTTTTAACAGAACAATGCCTTGTACAGTTTTAGAGATTTATCAGACCTATATTTTTGTTTCGGTTAACCCGTGAACATTTGATAGCGCTCATTAGTTTGTGAATAAAGTGTTGAATGCCCAAAGCTGTGATTTCTAACTGACCCTTATTTTTCATCAATATAATGTTCAGAAACGTATTGGTATGTTTGCTTCTGTCACGACCAGTGGCGTATCTGGCACAGAATCCCTGGTGGGGCACAATAAACTGTAGGGGCAGCAGCAATTCATCAGTGAAACTGCAGACAAACCTGATCCAAACACAAACGCACTAATCAATGAAATCACATTCATAGGTTAATGTGACGCGATGCAGGAGTTGGTGGGAGTGGAGACAGGAATATGAGTGATATGATGACGACATTAGATCTCACAAAACCTGGTCATGCAGCGTCGCATTACAAATCCAAAGTTATCTAGCAGTAAATGATCACTGTGGTCTGCAGCTACATATCCAAAGCAACATATCAGAGCAGTGAAATACACTTTTCAGGCTTTAGGAATAACATGACCTGTAATAATGCAGAATGACTCACGGGTGATGTTCACTGATCGAAAAGAAAAGATGCACGACGATCTTTCATCTGAGCAAACTCGTCAATAACTTCTCTCAAAGTCCACCAATCAATGAATGAATTCAAGCGATACCATAACAAGAACAGGCGAGGAAAGCAGGAGAGTGTTTTTAGCTACACTCACAGTTAGCCATGTTTTTCTCTTGAACCTCTCCGGACTGAAGGGGCAGTTTTTGTCCTTTCCAGACTGAATCATGTTGAAATCCTCTGGCTGGTGTGTCCCAAACGTTTAATCTCTAATTTCTGCTCTAATGGCTGGAACCAAATTTAACTTTTAGTACATTTTCGACTCCACTCATTATATTGCCTTGCTATTGGTGTTGTGAGTGGCTACCACAACTGATGAGGAACAATGGCTAGCTGCATAGCAACGCCCATACCATAAACAATGTTTTTACTAAACATCTGGACGGATGTAAATTTATTATTTTTTATTGGCTGCTCTCAGCATGTGGCCAATGTGATGGTGCCCCACAGTTGGTTACTAAAGTGTGCTGAACATGCAGAGTGTTTATAACTGCTCACTTGGTTAGACGAGCGCTGACGGGCCCCACGCTCACCAAACCAAGACTGCTAGGAGAAACAGGTACAATACTGGTGTTTACACAACAGGAACAGGAAGATATTTGGAATGTATCGGACAGCCCTACCACTGTCATATGTAGTAAACATGCAACAATGTTAGTTACAAGGAAAAAAAAATGTATTAGTTGTTATACTGAATTATTGATCATGTTGTGCACTGCTCCACAGCGACATCTGGTGGAGCAAGGCCTGTAATGTAGAGATCCTTACGTAAAGGCCAAGAAATGGTTATAACAACATAGCCTGATGCCTCAGACATTGTTTTTCAGTGGTTTTTGCCCTAAGCATAGGCAAGATGGTACCCACCACTGCTTTGTAAAAACATTTGAGTTTCTCTACAACACACCATTTCACATTAAAATACTTTGAATTACTTCAGCTATTGAATTGTGCAAAGTTTAGAAAAATTCCCCTTTAAAGCAAAAGTGTGGACCCTCTCAGGAGACCCTGATTTCACCCAGACTGATTTGAGAACAACTGCTTTAAGGCAGTTTCCCAACCCTGGTTCTAGAGGCACACTAATGTTTTCTCTGCTCGAAGCACACCTGGTCTAAATAATTAGCTCATTATCAGCTCCTTACTGCAGGGGTGGGGAACTGAGGACCGGAGCCCAGCACAGTTTGGTGATTTTCCTTCTCTAGCACACCAACTAAACCTGGGAATTAGCTGATGAGTTGAATCAGGTCTGCATGAGGAGTTGCCCACTCCTGCCTTACTGGGTTGAAGTGGGTGGGTTAAAAAGGAATTCCATCTATTTTTCTTTTCAAAGTCTCTACATAATCAGATGGTTAAGATGTAAACAAAGTCATTCAGAGTGATTTGATGGGAAAATACTTGATTCTAGAAAAAAAAATTGACTGAATTAGAATTGTGAGGGTGATGAGAACCAGACATCTGAAACATTTATGGCTCTAAAAGCTCCCTCACAGAAAGTTATACATTACAAGGTTTTGCAACAAGGATTTGGCCTAAAAGCCATTATATAGTCCCCAAATAAAACATATTCTTCCAGATTTACAACTATTTTACTTTCATCAACAACACATACAAAAATATAAGAACATGTTTAGGTTCAGCAGTAAATCAAATAGCATTTGTCTGTGTTGTACACAGCATGACATTCCTGTCACCACCACTGTCAAGAAATCTAAGTCTGCAAGTTTTTCTACAATGAACCATTTCACATTACATTGCCCTGAATGACTCTGTTTAAATGTTAATGACTGAATTCCCCTTTAAAGCCAGAAAAACACTAAAAAGTGCAGGGCAGTGTGTCTCCAGGACCCGGGTTGGGAAACACTGCTTTAAGGAATACATGACCAAAAAGTTAAATATAGGCTATAATTGAAAATTGTTAGCATTACGCTAATAAAAGCAATGAAGTCATCACTGTTAACTGGCTGTTGTTTAAGCTGCTGTTACCTCTAGCTACTGAGACAGCTTGGCCAGCTCAAGCTGGTTAAACTGGCAGAGCAGTTTAGCTGGTTCACAAGCATTAAAATGAAAAGTAATTAAAAGTGAATGAGTTTACCTGATTGATTAGCGTAGGTTATGCTTTAGTTTAAGGGTCAATGACAAATAAGGTTTTCAAAGTGACAATTTTTAAACATTTTATTAAATATGATTTTATTAATATAGTTTATAGTTGCCTATTTCAGTTATTAAAACTGTGCTGGTCTGGCTGCACCATTTGGCTTACTGGTTGTACCACCTGACTTTTCAGACTAATTTCAAATTAAACAGACATCTGCAGAAACATTTTTACTTTTTTTTCAAATAAATAAATGTTACTATATTAACACATTTATAATACACATTTTCATGGTGTTCCTGAGACCATGTCACCTGACCTGGTAAACTGAATCATTCTAACCAACACTCAAAAACGACTTGCAGTACCCTGGCCCCTCTTTCTTAAAGGCATGTCAAAACAAAAGTCCTTTGTTTTTGGTCGTTCTTCCTAACATTTGAGGTTAGTAAGAACCTGCAGACAAAAGTTTTTCAGTTAGTTGAACACGTTTAAAGTTGCTTTATTTTTCACAACATGGCTTTTTTTTTTTTTAGTTTTCAGACATAAAATGATGCCAAACTATTTTATTTTGAATTTTATACAACTAAATTTCCCCTTTTGATAATTTTCTATAATACACACACACACACACACACACATATATATATATATATATATATATATATATATATATATATATATATATATATATATATATATACATATATAATACATAAATTGCACCACCTGACGTTTTTAGACCTTTGGAGGCAAAAAGAAACCAAAATGAATTTTACATCATTACAAATTCAAGTCGGTGTGTTTCCCTGTAATGCGTTTCCACTCTGAGTGTTTACATCTGAAAGACTGAGTCAGTGAAATTCCCTTTAATATGGAGAGAAATCTGATCTCTAAAAACTCAGCGCACAGCTTCACCTCCATTTTTGTTTATAGGCCATTGAAAATCAGCTACTCTGCTATGACTCTAAAGGCAAAGCAGTACTCAAACGTGAGACTCTACAGGCAAAAAAATACAGAGAGGCCATGAGGTAGTTATAATTTTCTGGAATGTTATTTTAAAATAATGAGGTACTTATCTTGTTATCTCAAGATAACAAAAGTCGTTATCTTGAGATAGCGAGTTAATCTTGAGATAATGAGTTATCTTGTTATCTCAACATAAAATTGTTATCTTGAAATAACAAGTTACTTATCTCAAGATAACAACATTGTTATCTTGAAATAACAAGTTACTTATCATGTTATCTCAAGATAACAATCTAGAAAATTATAGCAACAGCTTATGGCCTCTCCTACGGAAGTTCAGCGAGGTCATAAGTTAGTTATCATTTTCTGGATTGTTATTATATTATTATATATATTGTTATAAAGTTATCTTGAAATCACAAGTTACATATCTTGTTATCTCAAGATAACAGATTAATTAGTTGTTATCTTAATCAAATTGTTCTTAATTAGTTAATAAATTAATTAGTTGTTATCTTGAAATAGCGAGTTACTTATCTTGTTATCTCAAGATGACAATCCAGAAAATGATAGCAGCTGCTTATGGCCTCTCCGGACTTCTGTTCGCGTTAGCACGAACAAATGGGACAAATGGGAAACCCGCCTAGAGCAGCGCCGCCCCGCTGTTTCACCTGTCCACCAGCAGATGTCGCCACTGTACCGCAGCAGTCCGCACCACCCCGCGGAGCTCCAGATCCGATTACCGACCGCGGAGCAGCTTCAGGCCGGAGCTGAGAGAGCAGAGAGGGCGGGGGGAAAACCCCCCTCACTCACGGACTGGTTTGGCCGGGACTCACTCACTCACTCCGGAGTCCTCGCTGGAAGCTCTCACTGAAGCTCTAACGCCGCATCAGCCTCCAAAACTTCTTACCGCACTTCTTTCACTTCGACTCCTTTTCGGACAATGTGAGGAAATGGCCGAGCGAAGGTAAGACTCGCTTTACCTGTCCAGATTTCCCGGAGTGAAGGAGGCGATACTGTAAGGCGGCGTTGTTGCAGTTTCGTGGCGGTGTTTCTGCTCCACAGTGCTCGTGTGGCTGACACTGTGGCGTGTTTTGAAACCGACGGTTTTAATGGCTGCTCGCCAGACTGGAGTTTAAACATAGTCCAGTTTAAAACAGGTCACAGCGGCCAGAGTTTAATGGTTTAATGCCTCCCCGGACGATTTAACTGGGTTATGAAAGATAAACAGCTGTTTAATTCACTCAGAGCTTTTCTACACTGATCGATATTAACAGTGTTACAACAAGACTACCAAACAACTTGTGGGTGAAAGTTACAGACTGCATTTTAAACAAGAACATAAAGTTTAAGTGGGTATTTTAAGAGTTTAGAGTACAAAACAAAGGGCCTGTTTTAAAAAAATGAAATACATGTGTACATTTTGGGGTTGCCTGATTCAGGGGTGGGCGATACGAGTAAAATATATCACGATACTTCACGATAAACAGTTTGTATCACGATATCTGTTTTTTTCTGAGATTTGGATAAGTTGTAACAGAAAAAAAAACTGTGCCGCATATAAAACGTGCTATAATAATAATAATAATAATAATAATAATAAATCTACAGTGTTTTTAATAGTGTTGTACAAACTGAACTGCACTATGTCCAGTCAAACAGGCCTAATTAGGCTCACTTTATAATAAAACATAGTTAGACTGTCCTTAAGTACTGCTGATATGCTCTGAAAAAGGCATTGTGACACAATTTATCACAATAACAATAAACTATGATCATATCGCCCACCCCTAACTTCCATTATCCCCAATGAACCATTTCAGGACTGAGTGTCTTACAGAGACCCATGTAGGTCCATAGTAGCTCTGGCCAGTGTGTGTTAGTCTGGATTATAGGAGCGGGCAGCAGGCCTAAAGGAGCATGTCTGATCTGGACATGCTGCTAAACATATGTGAGCTTGGTGTTCCAGGTGGCAGAGCTAATGAAGTCGCTAGGATGGAGGGGAGCCATGTTTTATTTATCATTCTGTAATGCCACCTCATGACCTTTCCTAATGAGGGAGGCCCAGCAAGCCCTGCCGTTTACACTCTTTAAATATTCACCATGACATATGGTTGAAGTGATTTGTAATAATAGTTAATAGTATTGACTGAAGTTATTAATCTGTGTTGGCTGCTTTCTTGTTTTGTTGATGTTTACTTTCCATGTAAAGCCTTTAGAGGAGGATTGGCCAAAGTTACGCTAAAATCAACCTCTTATCTGATGAAAGATCAAACGTTTTTTACACTATATGTAACTTATTCAATTGTTATTTTACTTTTTAAATGGTGTTTTTGAAGGATTTTAGAAAAAAATGCAGTAGTGTTGTAAAACACATTGTTAAAAACTTGATTTGAGACTGACCTACCTTCTTTATTTGCATATTGTTTTGGTTTTTTGGCACTTGATTGACCATAGTCGTTGCACCAAGGCCCCCTATAACAAAAAGGAGCCTCTAGATCAGGGGTCGGCAACATGCGGCTGTTTTACTGCCCTGTTGCGGCTCAACAACAGAATTAGGTTTCTGGGTAAAAATAAAATAATCCTCCTTTACAGTAAAATAAAGCTCTGCTGATCGTTCAACACAGTTTAACAATAAATGATCTTAAACTCTGGAGTTAATGTAGAACTGCTAATTCACCCTTTAACCCTGAAGGTTGGCGCACACTTTTGGTCACATAGCAACGCAGACAACAATCTCGCCCAGCTAGTAGCTAACAAAGAGGCAGAGAGAGAGATTTAAGATGAACATCGATAATTTGGAGACAAATAGACTTATTTCCATTTATAATCACTCCAGCTGGTTTTCTGATATGTTTAATCTGCAGTGAGAAACTGACAAACACTAAAAAGTTGCGACGCCAGTTTCTCATTCGCCAGCTTTTTATTCGAATTTTCCCGTTCCACCACTTAAATGGTGCAGCAGCTGCATTCTGGCGTGTCAGGTGCCATTTAAGGTGGAACGTGAGCAAGAAGCTGGCGAATAAGAGGCGACTTCAGCTTTGTAAAAAGTCGAACATTGAGAGACATTTTACAAGAAACTGTTCTACTTTTGTGGAAAAGTTTCCTGCCGGAGATGCGAGAAGCTGTAGCTAAACTAGACCTTAAAGCAGAGCAAAATAAGTGCGTTGTGGTTAATATTATATTTGATAACCTATACTAGACAATTAGCACATACCGAGACATATTTACAGCCAAGATGGTAAAATAGACAAACTGTTGTGGCTCTCAAGTGGTTTGATGTATAATGAAAGGACAAAACGGCTCTTCGTAACATTTGGGTTGCCGATCCCTGAACCAGAGTGATGCATTCTGAATATCTGAACTGAGAACTGAAATTTTAATTAGATCCTTCAGTTTAGAAGCTTTTGAGGCACAGCTCTTGTATCCGTCTCAGGATCCATGCTGGATTTTATTCTTAAACTTAATCACTTCTTTCCTCAAAGAAAGTTTGTAAAGTTGAAGTAAATTGGGCAGCTTTAGTGCATCTGACCAGTGCACGTACACCATATTGACCCATGTTCCACTAATGGAAAGCAAATAAAGTTATTTGTTGCACTTGGCCATGAGAGCAGATGGATCTTTCTCATGGTTGTAATCTACGTGCTACGTTCGAATCGCCTGCGTCAGCCCAGTGTTGCTGTAGTACTCTGTGCTGTCCTTTGTAGTGGCTTGGAAGATGGTGGAGTTGGTTCTTCGGACTGCGGTGGGCCTTAATTACTAGTTTCCTCTTCTGGAGCTTCATGGATGAAGTTACAAATTGGCTTGGCGCTGCTGAAAAAAAAGTGGGGAACCCAAAAACAAACGTTCGGCATGCCAGACGTGCTGCAGCATATGTTGTTTCTAATAGAAACGCTGAAGTGTGCCTTCAGGTTCACCAGCCAGACCATCAGAGTGTTTCCAGAACTGCTTTCAATCTTAATGGCAGAAGAGCAAGAAGTTTCCATTAGTAGTCAATAGTTGTCGTAAAAATTGCTGAACTACAACACTGAGAGGTCTACAGGACTCAGTGTTAAATTTAGGCCAGTGACCATTGGCTGGAAAAAGAACAGTGTGTGTGTGTGACTCCAATCTAAACTTGGCTCTGCTGTAACAGTGTAAGTGCAGGGTGTGTGTGCGCATGATGATATAGCAATGCATTCCCTGTTCACTTATATCGGCCTTGGCCTCGAGTGTGTCCTCGCCAAACCTACATCCAGCTATTTTCCTCTCTGGCCTCTCCCCCCTGTGCTTTCCTGCTGGCTTGCTTTTGAAGTCCAGCTACCTGCCAGTTTTGTCCTGTTCTAGAGTGTTCTAGATTGTTCCAGTGAGACCTGTGTGGAATCCCCGGAGAGTAGAGAAGGTGTGGCTGTGTTATCTGTTTTGCTCTGTACCTGAGCAGACTGAGTAAACACTGCTGTATAATGATGACGTGCTTTCATTACTCCACTGTTTAATTTGGTGTGGTGCCCTATGAAATGAAGTTTTGTTTGTTCGTTTGTTTATCTGGGGCTCATCGAGTTACCTCAGCAACTTGTGTCTCTCTTTAAAGTCTATGCAAATGAATACATACTGATTAGAAACAGTGCAGTCTAGTGCTGGTGCTGGCAGTAGGGCTGGACAATAAAATGATAATGATACTTATCATGATATAACTTAATCTTTGATATAAATATAAGAATTGTTCAATAAATGCTCGATATAATAGAGCGTTCTTACACTTCCGCGTTCTAGCGACAGCTCTAGTGGCGTTTTCTACTGCAGGGATAGCAACACCACTCTGCTGTTGCCACAAAAGGGTGCACTTCAGAGTTTTATGACATGATTAGAGGAGTAAAATGAGTCACCAAATATACTTTAGCAACGTCTGAAACATGGAGTTATATATTCCCTGTTTGAGTGGAGCGACCGGCGATCTGCACTCCTGTGACCGAGTGTGAGTGACGAGATAAATGGTGTAACTGTACTGTCCTACAGTGAACTCACCTCCTTCCCTACATCCTAACAAGCTTCAGCAGCGTTAAATCACGTCTGCTCCTCACAACTACAGCGCTGTCACAGCGCTCAGTCATATTTTAGGATTAGTGCATTCCCAAACAACAGAAGTGAAAGAAAGAAGTGGTTCATGCAAATTACAGCCTTGATTTAAACGGAAGTAAAATGAGGATGCTGTATGTGAGGCATTGGAGAGTGAGAGAACGCTAGATATCCAGGCTTGCTGTTTTTAGCAGCTGGCTAACTTGAAGCAGCGCTTTGTTCATAGATATACACCAGGAGCAAAAATCAGCCATCAAACTTGAAAGAAATAATGATTTGACATTTATTGAGAGATGCATCGATAAAGACTGATTTGAAATTTTTTATCATGATAACATTTTTGGTCATATCGCCCAGCTCTAGCTGGCAGTGAATTAGTGTGCAAATGTCTCAAATATGGTAGATGCTGCATGCATAGTAGGAGTGCATCGATACTAGAGATGGTATGTCGGTGTCAGTATTAGGCTGCTATCAGCGGAAAATCCAGGATTGGATATTGGAGGCAATCCTGTAACAAATTTGTCCTGAAATAGCGGTTGAAGAGCGTTTTTTGAGCATGGTAGCCTCTTTTTAGAAAGACCAACCATATGGTTTTTAAGATACAGTATCGAATTGGTATCAATATCAGCCGGTACTGAACGTTTTAGTATCGATGTCGGAAAAGAAGAAGTGGTTAGCTATTTCCAATGGTACACGTATTTTTAGGTTTTTGCAATTTTCTATTTTAAGGTCAAGATTCTGTGTGATTTTTGGGAAGTAAAATAAGTCACAAAAATCCTAAACCAGGGGATTTATAATCTAACTATAGTGTAAGCCCCTCCCCCTCCCTTCCCACTTTACTCTGATAGGATGCACTCAGGCGTATACTCATTGACAGTGGTTTCTAGAAAAAATAACAGTGATGGAGCCTCA